TCAGGCGCTGCTGCTTCCAGTGTAAAGTTAAAACAGGCGCTGGGTGACGGTAGAAATCATGACATTACTGAGAGAATACTGTATGTGCAAGTCAATATACAGTATATCACTTATGGCAAAGATGTGCAAAAGCTCATATCAAATAAGCGTGGTGAAGTTTCCCACTGTCAGACACCAAAGATATATGTATTAATAATAATAAAGAAGAAGTGGAAGAAGCAGAAAATTAAGAAGAAGAAACATAATAAAAAATTAAGTAGAAGAGGAAGAAGAAAAATATACGCGGTGTCCCTGAGAGCTCACAACATAATGGAAGTGTTTCCAGGGGACACAAAGAAGTGACGCACTTGCATGGATTCATTATAATACATGTGCTATAAAACGTCCATGTGCACTTGTTGTTCAATGCTTTTAACTTCAAAAGTCACAAAGCATCGAAACAGCAAGTGCGTCCCCCTGGAAACACTTCCGCTGTCGTCGGTGCTACTAACGATCTGCGATCTCCTTCAAGTCCCTTCTTATAACTCACTTTTATCCGACAGCTTTTCCTAATTTTACTTTTCCCTTGAAGTGAAGTTTTATTTCTCTGTACTCGTTTTTATTCCCTGATTGTTTTACTTCTATTTGAAATCTACTGCCTTTGTTAAGAATTTAGATTTTGAAAAGAGGCTCTATAATTGAAGATTATTATTATTATTATTATTATTAGCTTGTTTTATGTGCTTGTGTTTTCTTCAGTTGCAGTGCACTGAGCTCTCAGGGCCACCGTACGTAAAGCCCCTCTCTGCACGCTGCCCACTCATTCATTACAACAGCACGTCTGTGAGCTTGTTGCAGCAGAACCAGCTTCCACAGAAACCTGACTCTGGCTCAACGTCTGCTGCAACACCATGTGGCAACGAACAACTGTGTGTAAGGCAAACACACACGTACAAGAATAATGCACATCATGAAAAATATTAAGAGGTTTTGACTGTCGGTTTATGTCTCAAATGTGACTTTAATTATCATTTTTCTCTTTTTGAAGGTGGCAGTTATTGTTGTAGGATTACTTGTAGGGTTTTTGTGCTTGTATGTGTTGGTGTTGTGTTGTTACTGTTGAGTAATATTTATATCTCTGCTTCTTTCTACCTTCACTATGTTCCTACTGTTTTTTGGGACAACAGTGGAAAAGTTTATCTTAAATCCTTAAATCTTAAACTTTTTGGAAGTTTTTCACTTTCAATGCAAATTATTATCTTAAATGGTCGCGATGCTCAAACTGAATCAAATCAAACGATTAGTATTGTTAGTGCACACTGCAGGACTGAGCTAATCTGCTGTTTACCTGCAGAAGTACATGTCTTGCTGCTGCGGACATTTACACTTGGACTGTTGCAAGAGCTGCGATTGGTCAGTACAGGTTTGAAAGTTCAGGGGAGATTACTGATCAAGTAAATTGAGGAAACGCTCAGATTTAGAGGCAGTGACTGCGTGAAAAGTCAAAATTAAACCTGTTTGTTGTCTCTTTATACCACAAAGTAAATCAGAGAATGTAAACAGCTTAGAGTTGAAACCATTAGTCAATTAATCGTTTAGTCGATCGACAGAAAAACTATTTTGAAAAATGCCAAACATTTCCTTATTTTGGCCTTAAGGACACTGTCAATAGGTATTTTATTGACCAAATGATTAATTGAATACTCAAGAAATTATTCTTAAAACACATTTGTACATTTTCTTTGCCGCCGAACGTGGTTTCTTGCCATTGTGTTTACAAGACAAGAGGTTATAATACGCCCTCCGAGCAGCGCCGTGTCTTCAGGGCAGATTGGGAGCTACAGTGACTCGGTATCGGAAAGTGATGAGACAGGCTAGCTGGTTAGCGTGCTAACTAAAGCAGATAGAGACAAGATTTAACGTTGGCATTGGTTTCCAGCTCTTGGTGAGTAAAGGAATAACTTGCAATGTTTCTTCTAGACTAGTAAGTAAACAGCTGCTAATGCTAACGCTAGCTATGTAGCAATAGCAAACCTTACATATACCTCCTTATAAGCAAAGTACGGCCTAATAATGCACCAAATCAAAGGTAAAATATGACCTTTACACTGGAGCTAGAGGCATAGATCCACTTTTCCACATCAGCTGATAAAAGCAGTGTGTCTGGGTTCAGGGGTCGCAAGGGTCACACCCAAACTAAAGCAATGTCAGTCTGATTACAGCGAAACACCACAGCACACCACACTACACACACACACACACACAGAGCAGAAGAAGAAGACAGGTCTATCTGAGCGCGTCATCTCCAGCAGGCACGGTGAATTCATTATGCAAATGAAATCTGTTCGACGAGCAGCTACCTTACCCACATGACCAAACTTGTGATGTAGCCTCAAAAAGATAAAAATATATAAATAACCTCTTTACATGAGCGGCTGAATGTATCACACACACATACACACACACGAGATACCAAGGGAATCCACAGCAGCTCGAATCCGTCTGAACGAGCTTCACGTGCACTAAAAACACCATAAATATGCAAAGTAGGTTGAATTACACGTCACTGTCTGGATCTGTAACCGCTGTTAATTTAACTTTCTGACTTACCTGCCAGAGGATTAGAGAGAAAAAGATTTATTTTCCGAGATCTGCCTTCGCTCGTCAAAACTTAATTTACATTTCTCATGCACCTTCCTGCTTAAAATCTTCGTAATAAAAACACACAAAAACACGAGGTTACCATGTTTAAATTAAGAGTTATTCTCAGCTAATAATCCAAAAGCAGGAGGGGGCATGGAGTCATTACAGGCGAGGTGGAAAAATCAACGCTTTAGCCTGTAAAAATGACTTTTTAAATGTCGAAAAATGAGCAAATTACACAACAGAAGTGCTCGCAATGCTGCAAACGGAGACGCTGATTAACTCGGGCGCTGATTTGATGAGCACAAGCACTTTGCCGAACGCATCACTTAGCAGGGGAGCATCTGAAGTGGAGTGTGTGTGTTTGTAAGGGTGTGTGTGTGTTTGTAAGGGTGTGTGTGTGTGTGTGTGGGCTGAGTTCTAGGAGCGAGTGAGCAAGTTTGACAAGGCGTTTAGGTGTGTTCGTTATATGTGGTTTAGTCCAATTGAAACACTTTAAAACAAATCTGTGTTCTGGTTTCGCACCTTCTCACAAAAGCGAGCAAATTCTGAAAACGGACTGCGGAGTGAGCAGGGAACCAATCAAAAGCCTGCTGTGTACAGTCATTGTGAAAGTCTTACATCTCTTCTTAAAGCTCAGTCTGGTGTGAAGGGTTTATCTTTTTTAAAACTTTTTATTTGACGCTTTTATTCTGAAACAACACTTTCAAAGTGTTTTAAATGTGTTAAATATAAAGTTTGTATTATGTTATAATTCATTTAAGTGATTGACTGGTTGCAGCTTGTGAGATGGTTTTTCTTTTTTGTGTGTTTCACAGCCTGAGCTTTTCCTTAACTGGTTCACCCACATTGTGAAAAATAAAAAACATCTGATGTTATCCAACCGTGAAGACAGTTTTGGTTTTATTTGCCCTGATATCTGAATGAAATTTTTGTGCTGCACACAGCTTTGAAAAACAACTTAAAAAAAAAAAGAGATAAACAGGAACAAACAGAAACAGTTTCCCTGTTACTTCATTAAAGCTGAAGCAACACAGTGATATCAGCAGGATTCACGGGGATGATATGGCGGCGCTCACATTCGTATTCATAAGTGACATATGTGTAAACTGCCCGGCTTCAACTCAAATGTGAGTCGCACACGAACAAGAATCAACAACAATAACGTCGTTTGTGACAGAGCTGCACAAGCGAGCGCGTCCCGAGAGGTCAGCAGACCATACAGATGATAAGGTCGTGTCCCATTCGCCCAGATTTGGTTTGTTCACACTTCAGTTTGGGTCACTTCAGCATTTAATGTGAGTTTTATCTGCGTGGGTCGAAAAGGGCGAACTGAGCCTGTCTCTTTAGCTACACACATCCACAACTTTAAATATCCTCAAACTGCTGGTTTCCAAGGTCAAAGATCGACCTTGAATCTTAACTTTAAGCTAACATGCAAGATTAGCTCTTTAAATACAAACAAGTTAAACATCTCAGCTTTAGCCGCTGAGGAGGAGGATTGTGGGAAACTATCACAAGGTTTGGAGCTGCTACTAACTGAACTACAAAACAAATACAACACTGCTACAACCAGGAGTCCTGAGACGTCCTCTGAAAAATATGTTATGGCTGTCGGGAAAACACGCTGGTCTCATCGGTATGTCTTTTTTTTCTTTTAAATATGATTTTCAGTCATATGACAAACCCAAACACACACACACACACACACACACACACACACCCAAACATGAAAGAGGACAAACAATACACGCAGAGCAAACTACCCTACACATCATTAACATGTAATTGTGACTCTTTTGTAAGTTACACAATTAACTGATTATAAAAAGAAACATGTGTTTATGACAGTTTAGCCACTAAAGAAGTGATAACAGAAACTTCTCAGACACTTTTGCGACACATATTGATCTTATCTGCTCAAACACATTTCACATCCAGCCCGTCTTAAACTCCTGGACCAGTGACCTTCTCTTCCCCCGACACACACGCCTGTTTATCAAAGCGTCACATTTCTGACCGAGCTGCTGCATTTTGCACTAGTTATCATACGAGCACAGCTTGGTCTTAGCAGGCAAAGGCAGCAGCGCGTGCGTGTGTGTGTGTGTGTGTGTGTGTGTGTGTGTGTGTTATCGCTCTGCTAAGACACTCAGCTAGAGAGGAGTCACATGCAAGAAAGATGCAAGGCATGACAACTGAGCTGTGAGGTCACTTCCTGTAGAGAGATGAAAAGAGGAAGAGGAAGAAGAGGAGGAGGAGGAGGAGGAGGAGGAAGCACACTGTACATGCGGCCTAACGTTGACACAGTGTTGATTCGATGTTAGCCACTAGTGAGCCGGGCAGGCGAGTTAGTCAGAGGCGCTGTTAGCGCTGCTTACCTTTTCTTAGGTAAACGTTATCTGAGAAACAAAAACACAAACAAAAAGGAAACAAATAAAACAGGTAACTGTAACACAGGTGTGAGCACTCAAAAACACACACACGCACACACACACACACATAACGCTGCTCTCATATTCCAGATGACTAAGCAACACACACACACACACACACACACACACACACACACACTCACACACAAATATGCATAAAATGATGCAAAGCCTTGAAATGAAGCAACAATTTTTATTTTTTTTTGTGGCCATATTAATAAACTGACAGTATGTTGCAGCAGCCTCTGTGGGGAATATAGAGCCGCCTTCATTACATGATTTATGCTTCGGTTTGCATCATTAAACACGCAGCACTGTCAGCTGTCCATTATTATTATGGAGAGGAAAAGAGGGGAAACAGCGAAGGGAAGAGCTTCCTGAGGGACACAGGAGGAGATGGTTAATAGAGGTGGACATTAGTGGACAGAAACAGCTCATTTTTACAGATTTCTTTTCTTTAACTTCGGCTGAAATCCCTTTTCTCAACTGATATTATGAAAATTGGTGATATATTGACATATATATAAATGTACGTGAGTAAAAAAATACAATATCTTTTACTTTTTTTGGGGGTTTTTTATTTCAGTAAACGGGTGTTTTGACTTTTCTGTCTCTCTCTACTGTCGCCATCAAATAAAAAAGAAGAAATGCAGATGTTGGAGTTGTTGGGATGATTTCAATCTAATCTACCTTCCCTCTTACTTCAATCTACTGAGCGGGTTTCGACTTGTTTGGCACACCTACAGAACGGCTGGAGGATCACGTCGTCGTCCAGTCGACTCTTACAAGGTGCGTATCATAATACACGCCAACAACTTCCTTCACCAGATGTGTTTTGGACGAGCCGTAAATGCTGCCTCACCTGCAGAGAGGCGAACGAGCTCAGGTGTGATTTGGAGACGTTCACACGGCTGTTTTTCTTTTATATATTTACATGGTTTTTCTGTCTTTTTCCATTTCAAACCCGCCTCTGTGAATCTGTGAATGTTTCTTCAGATGAAAACGTCGTCGTTACTTTATATGAGTGTTAATTTTAAGAGAGATTTTCACCTTACGGCAACAATTTCATCACTTGCTGTGCACAAACTGAGAGGATGGAGAGTTTAAACACAAAGTGAAGCCTCATCACTCATCTCTGCTGAGCGTAAACACATTTAAAAACACCACCGCTCAACAAATTAATACTTTTCTGACAAAATCCTGACAATCTGAACTCTTTAACGGATGTGATTTGACATATTTCAATTCTCCAGTGTGAAGCTAAAACAATTAGTCAGTTAATTGACAGAAAACTAATTGGAAAAATCTTTTTTTAGCAAAAAAAAATTTCCAGCTTTTCCCTTCCTCTTCTCCGACTGTAAACTGAATATATTCACGTTTTTTTTGGACAATTAATCAAACAAAACACGTCAAATTGTGATGGGCATTTAAAAAAAATAAATAAAAATCATCCAACAGATTGATTGATGGTAAAAGTAAATCACTCCCTGCTGTCATGTCGTGCTTGGTGACTTGAAATACAAAAATAAATAAATAAATAAATAAATAAATGAAGGCGACTCCACTGCTGAATGAACGTGTCGTTTCCCTGTTTGATAGATAATCCACGGAGACGTGAAAACAGACGTTTATGAATCACCTGCTGCTACAAAAGGGAAAAATGAGTGAGTTGGTGAAGGGGACATATGGAGGCCGGCGTGAGGGCGAGGACGACCGAGTCAGGTGGAAAACATATCCAGGTCGTCTCACCGTCTCCACAACAACAGAGACGCGGGCTATCCATCAGCGGGGGAAAGTGTCGAGTAAAACAAATGGTCTGAACGAGGCTGGAGAAGGTGAGTCATCTATCTAGTGGGGGGGGGGGGGGGGGTGGACGGAGGGGTGGGGGGTGAGTTGGAAATATCACTGTGAGTGAAAAGCTTTGGCAAAAAGTTGTGATATTGTGAAAGGGACAGCAAGAGGAAAAAGGAGATGTTAAAGGTGACGCTTTATTTTGGTGAGGAGTGAGAGGTCCCTCTTTAGAGGGGGGTGGGGAGAGGAGAAGACCCGTCTCTGGCTGTGACCTGGCTGGCAGGTGGAATGACGCTGAGCGAATGTGATGGCGAAGGGCGTGATGTGTCGGTTAGAAAACTGGCAGCGACAGTCAAAGCACTTCAAGGAAAACCTGTCTTTCCGCTCAGTTTATTTAAAGCATTCTTTGTGAGGTGAAGATGGGAGGTGTTCACATGTTTGTGTGTGTGTGTGTGTGTGTGTGTGTGTGTGTGTGTGTGTGTGTGTGTGTGTGCGCGTGCGTTACGGTTAGCTGACCTTTGGTGCGACTACCTAAAAACCCTTAAGTGACTCAGTGTCGTGCCGCAGATTTTCAATCGGATTCCTTCAGGATGGAAAAGATTTTTTGAAAAACCAACTATACGGTCACACCATGTTACGAGCGCATCATCATCAGTGCAAGAAAAAATAAAGTTAAGACTGTTTTTTTTAAGCTACAATAATAACCGCGTGGTGCATATAATAAAGACACAAAACACCCAATTAAAAAGGCAGAAAATCCCCCCAAAAAATACTGGAAAAAAAAATATTTTGCGCAGATTTTCTTCACATCTAAAAGACACTTTTCACCCCTGTTTACAGTAAACAAGTTAATGATCCAACAGGCACGGCTCAGGAAACTGTCTTTTGCTTTTGTTTCTGTTGCCACAAAATGCAAATTGAGCAGTAAATTATCTGACTGAGTCTCTCAGACTCAGTCAGATAATAATTCAGTATTTTTTAAAAAGGTCACATTTTGTATAAAGAAAACCAAAAGAGTCCACCTGCAGTATTTTAAGGAAAATTTACCATTTTCACTTGAGGCTTGTTCTCCTAAATTTTAGCTTTTAATTTTGATTTGACCAGAGGTGAAAACAAAAGACAACGCGCACAAATGTATTTGTACCTGGCAAAGGTCAAAGTGACTGCGGATGATTAAAAACAGGTGAAAATGTGAACATATACATTAATTTTCACTTCTAATATATTATGTACAGTCACTGGTTTACATAGTATGTTTAACCTGAGGGACTGTTTGCATTTGTTAAGTTGAATAATAGATATAATGGATAAAACTACAAAAATAAGATGTGAAAAGTTGTGAAAAAATGTTTTTTTAAAGGTCCATCCAGTGTAAAGGTCTCTGTCCATGTGTTGTTTGATTATTGATCAGGTCAAGGTTCTATATTAATACTGTGAAAGTATCAAAGCCTCAGTCCACAGAGAAATTCAGAAACTGAGCTTTAAAACCAGCCGTCAGGACTTCCTGTAACTTTGTGATGTCACAACAAAGCAGTCACCGCCCTCAGCCATGCCCCAAGCCCCGCCCACCTGGACCCACCATCCAAACCTTGCAGGATTTGGTTTCTCTGAGTGTTTTACCTGAAATCTGCTTTATTTTTATTGTATCACTCAGAAAACAGTCAGCCAATCAGAAGAGAGGCTCAGAGCCTCCTCTCTTCTGATTGGCTCACAGACCTGTTGTTACTAGAGCTGCAGAGAGAAGCCTGAGAGAGGAGATGTAAAACTACACTGAGATGGTTTTTAGTTCTTAAAATCACAAATATATCTTCTTATGGATCAACCCTTCAGGAGCTTTAAGATCCAATTATCACCTTGAATTTTGTTGTTGTCTTGCAAACAATAAATATAAAACCTGATAAATTTCCAGAACATAACGAGCCTTTCATTTAAGTATAATAAAGCTCTGTATCCTCAATTGATTTTGCAGCAAAAAGTTGTGCTAACTTATTAACTGCATGAGGAACCTCCTTCCTATCAGGGATTTCATGTGGCGGCCTGATGCTTCAGATACATGTGTTTTCCTCCTACCTTCAGGGGGCATGAGGGCCTTGTCGTTCTGGGCGCACCAGCCCACCGGGTGCAGCTCGGCCGTCATGACGTCGCACCAGAAGTCGGCCTTGCGGTCCTCGCCATAGCCGCTGAAGCGCAGCAGCAGCAGCTGGCCGCACGTGGTGATGATGGTGGCCACCCAGTACGTGTCCGGGCTGCTCTTATTGGCCACTTCCAGCTTCATACCGGGCTGGAAGCTGCTCTGCAGGCTGATCTCCACCTGGGAGGAGACGGATTGTTAAAGGAAAGGTTGGCGCTACATCGTTGCTTCAGATGTGGAACTAAAAAGGTAATAATCCATCAAAACGTTTGTCACCATTCGCCTTCATATTGATGCTTTTGGTGCTTTCTGATCAGATTTACACAATAGGAAACAGATGTAAGGTATAAAAAGGGAACTCCACTAATTTTACACATAAAGGTCAGTTTATGGGAAGTAATACGCAGCCTGTGGAAGCAGATGTCATCACGGTTAACTTGTTTTAACAGACAGTCGGAGTTACTAGCTGTAACGCAGGATCATGTGTTTTTGGAGCTTGACTCACATTTGAGGCTAAAAGTCGAGATATTTTTGCCTCTGCTGCTTCGTTTTTGCTTTTTCATTTTCAAAATCTCTCCCTATAAATTCCACTAAACTACAACGGTCAAATAATCTTGGAACTAGAATCACCGCCTCGTGGCTGTTCCCTCCGCCGACCCGCCAAGTTGTGGTAAATAAGGTCACAATGTCTCCTTCCTGAGTTAAAGCATTGACTAATAACCAGCGGGGCTTTTGCAGAAAATTATGATGTCACAGTGAAGTTGACCTTTGACCTTTTTGGAAATAAAATGCCATCACTTCATTTTATCCTTATAGACACTTAAGTCAAATTGTGTCATAATTAAGTAAGTGTGAGAATTTGTGAGTTATGGCCAAAAAACGTGTTTTGTGAGGTCACAGTGACTTTTGACCTTTAACGTTTGACCACCAAAGTCTATTCAGTTCATCTTTGAGTCTAAGTGAATGTTCGTGCCAAAATTGAAGAAGTTCCCTGAAGGCGTCATCAAGATATCTCCTCCGGATGCATGAAAATAGATCCTTTAAACTGCAATTCTACAAAGACACTGAATTGCTGTTTTCCACTGTTTTATATGTGACTGTAAACTGAATCTTTTTTTTTTTGTTTGTTTTTCGGACCGTTTTCTTGAGCAAAACAAGCATTTCAGAGACGTCCGTGTGTGGGAATTTTATAGGCTGAACAGTCGATAAACTGAAACGATAAACCAATAAAGAAAATAATTGTGAGATTCAGCCACAACCACACGATTTTAAATCAGAGGAGAACTTTACCTGAGACAGTTTTTAATTCGACTGCAGGCAGCGGTGCTATGAACCGCAGGTGAGAGTTTAATAATCACCGAGCAGAATTAACGAAGACTTTTTTTTTTTTTTTGTCCCCCAAGAGCTGACTGGAACCGGTCCCAGACAACAGCCTTTCAGTTTCTCCTCGCACTGATTTATCGCTTTCCCTCCGCGAGACACTGAATGCAGCACAGCACATAATGCATTTCCACCATAGCCACAGGCTGCCATACAATTCTCGAGAACCCTACGAGCCCGACAGGATGTTCACATTCTACACTCAACACAGACGCACACACTCTCTCGAGTGAATGGAAAAAGCCAAGATCTTAGAAATAAACACAATACAAATGGCCCCGTGACTTCCTGCTGCAACAATGCAAACGTGCTGTATCACTCCGGCTGGCTTATGTAAGAGAGCTACGGGCAGCCTCGGCAGCAAACACTGACTGTGTGTGTAGTGTGTGTAGTGTGTGTAGTGTGTGTGTGTGTGTGTGTGTGTGTGCAGGCCCAAGAGAAATCACTGTTTCAATTTGTCCAGGCACAGAGAGAGAGAGAGAGAGCGAGAGAGAGTGAGAGAGAGTGAGAGAGAGACGAAGGGCTGCACTTTACTGAATCACATTTTTCTGGGGAATTCATGGTCTGTTTCCCAGTGACTCAATCCACTTACCAACAAGGCAATTTAGCTTCCCAGGAGACCTGAGCCGCTCAAATCACCACAGTTTGTCCGACGCCGGGGCCTCGCTCACTAAAAACCAACAGATTCAAATCTCAACCCTTATTACGCTCATCGCTCCGCGTGACGTAAAACACTGAAACACTGACACACTTCTTTAAAATTTTCTTCTTTAGTTATTTAAACCACGGAGCAGACAGACAGGTCGCCGGGCGCCGCCGAGCCTCACCGGGACGGACAGCTGCGCCGTCGGGTCAAAGACGGAGAGTCAGCTGAGGTGGATAAAGACCTCGCATCCAGGATCAACCGCGCTCGTCCCATCTGGCCCTCTCCTGTGATGTAACATGGTAATGGAGGCAAAGCCTGGTAATTGTTTGGTAACGGGATGAGTTGTTTTTCGGAGGAGGATTGAAACTAAAATGACATCAGAGGAGTCTGAGTGTTTTTTAATGAAGTGCTGCGGCTTCACATCGTAACAGGCCAATTAATAGAAACCGGATCAATAATCAGTTACCCAAGACAAATCAAATCAAATCAAATCATGAAGAAATAACAGAAAAAAAATCAAAAAAAATCAAAGACAAAGTAGATTCTGTATTACACCAATCAATCAATCAATCAATCCATCTGTCAATCAAACTGTATCCGCACAGCAGCTCCCACACAGGTCTGTGCACTTCAAAGACCTTCACAGGCGTCGAGACGAGCCAATGATGCGCGTCGAAAATATAAAAAACAAAACATTACTGGAGCTCATGCACACGGAGAAAGAGAAAAGTGAATGACTTAAATGCACAGAGGTACGGGACGTCCCCGCCCCTGAGCTCAGCTTCCAAATCAATACTTTATCTGATAGTTAATATATTCATTTTCTTAGTCTCAATATGTTTTTCTATAAAATAGAAAATAACAAAAAACTAATCAATAACATCAATTATCACGCCACATACATCCACACACAGCATCATTTTGTATTTTAGTATCTTCTGGGATTTTTTAAATCTTTAGTAGAATCTGAAATGGAGCACAGTGGATTAAACCAGTTTGTAATAACTGGCCTGCTGCAGGTCAGAGAGGTTTAAGAGGCTTGAAAGAGAGTTAGTAAAAATAAATAAATAAATAAATAAAGTAAAGTAATAAAGCTGGAGGACAAAACTGAAAACACTGGATCCCACAAACTTCCAGAGAGGACGCTAGCCTTTCATTAAAACCCTCCTCTGTTTGGTAACTCAAGTGATGTCACCCGAGTCATTTCCTCAAGACATGACGTGAAGCTCCACCGGAGACAGAGAAGTCGTCATTCACCTGGTGAGCAGTCAGCATCTTACGTCTAGTGGCACTTTGAGGGAAAAATGATGGAGTATCATACAACATAAATAAACGAGGGAAATATCTAAAGAAGACAGAATGTGACCGTGTTACAGTTGCTGCCCCTGATCCTCAAAACAACAACGGACACAGAGTCAAAATAACATCTGGCCACTTATATATTCAAGTAACTTCAGCTTTGCCTCGGGAAGTTAATTCATCATGATTTTGGCACAGCGGCCGTTCTGCTGAGCTCAGCATTCAGATGACGAACAACAACATTTAGAAGAAAGGGAAACAAAAAAAAACAAACAATTAGCTGATTCAGTATTATTTTTGGAAAATCCCCTTAATTCAGTTACTCAGAACACACACGTGTTGATAACATACAGCAGCTCTTCAGTTGAGCCCAGATCAGATACTGAAGAGAAAAAAACAAGTAAAAACTAAAAGGAAGTATAGATGTCGATTTCCTTCTTATAGATGTTGATTAAGCAGGTGAGTTTTAACTCGTTGATGGCGACACGCGGCTCAGCGGAGCCGGACCGTGATCATCAGTCTGAACTAACTCTGCTTCACTTTGGTATCAGACAGTTTCAACCCGGTGAATCAGAGCGGAGCGCAGATGGCCTGCAGAGTTGTTGCCAAAGGGGGGGGGGGGAGAAGAAAAAAGTACCTCACCCTTTCACGCCACCTCCCCACTCTGCATTAAAGTTTTACATGCAACAGTCTCAGCTCTGATCGAGTGGATACGCTCATCAATACATTCCAAACAAGTTTTAAGTTGTGCGTTAGTTCTTTTCTATCTGATGATTCAGTTTTCTAGAGAATTTAAGCGGCTTCCTGACTCAGATATCAGAGATAAAGATCAGCGGGGGCTGGTTGAACAAAACACCTTTAGTATGAGAACTTGAGGTTTAATTTCTCCTTAGCTGAGCGAGTTACTTGAGGGAGTTGCACAGAATCTCTTAAAAGGTTTTCCTTAATTTTAAACAAAGGGAAAAAGGTGGTAAAATTCTACCGTTTCCACGGAGACCGTTGCTTTGCTGCCGTCAGCACTTGTGATACCTGTTGCCATTTTCTTTATTCATACAAGATAAAGTCAGAGGTACCTTTAGTTTTTCTCTCCTTACTTTGGTCGCTAAGGTCTTTTGTGCAACAGCAGGAGGATGAGATAGCTGCTTCAACAAGTGCTAATGGCAGCTAATCAGCGGTCTCCATGGAAACAGTAGAATTTTAAAATTGTAAAATCTCTTTTACTGCTGTAAATAACTTAACTTTTTTTCTTAACTAACAAAACACCCTTAAGTAACTCCCTTAGCCGAGGAGAAATTAAACTAAGTGTTAAACTTAAACTCCCCCCCCTGTACTTAACCAAACACACACACTGTTAGTTTATTCTGACCCAGATCCACACACACACACACACACTGCCCTGCTGCCCCAAATACTCGCTAGACCACCAAATGTGGATTAATCCGCCGTTGAAAATAGTCCCCTGCGAACACACCATTTCCTCCTGTTTCAGTCACGTTTCCTGAAAAGCTACAGGGCCCAGCTGACTTAGGAAATCACTGCAACCCTTTTAAAAAGTGAAAGTACACATTTGTAACCTAGTTAGTTTGACTTATTATTCTTTCAGAAATTCTCTTTGTGTCTGCGGCAACTGTTAGATGAATACAACCACAACAGAGAAGACAGGCATTCAACAACAACGTGCTCCACAGCAACATCGCCAACACTCGGGGATTAAGTACAATAAATGCAAAAGACACACCTCTCATAGTTACGAGATCGGTTTAACCGAGCTCTACTTGAAGGATTAAAGGATCAGTCAGTGAAAAATACCAAGCAATAAAGCCAAAACTTAGAATATTGTCCACAAATGAACAATAAAAAGGAACCATTGGATGCCTGCCTACTGTGATATATCTAAGCCACGCCCACTTGAGAGCAAGGAAACAGAAAAAGACAGAGGATGATGAGGAATGCTGAAATTAAAAACCATGATCATTTCATCCGACTCTGGAATTTCTGTCTCTAAATATTTTAAAACGACCTTGCCCTGTTTTTGTTTTCATTGTGTTGCTTTGCTTTTGTGCTGCAGTAATTACCCACAAAAAGTGTTTACAGAAGCCCGCAGAGGTTGTCAAACGACTTTTGCGTCACGACGGGGAACAAAGCCAACGGGAGCGCTCCATTGAGCAGCATCATCACCGTGATGCCGAGGCCTGGCTCGCTCCAATGTGTCGTTAAAGGATTTCTGCATATGGTACTTAAACCGAGAGGCTGTATTTAAAGGATCACCGTGGCGATGGGATTGTAAGGCGAAGATGATACGCGGTCACTCACGTGTTTGAAGGTGGTGTGAGGGGCGGCGTTTGCCCCCGTCTCCTCCATGTACTCCTCCCAGTTAAACTCCGCCTCCTCCTCCATGGACTCCGCATCTGGATGAACAAAATGTCCCGTCAATCAAACAGACCTTCGTTCAGGGGAGGGCACGCAGGTGGCAATTACACACACAGGCTTCATGTTTTGTAAATGTAGCCGATCTTACCAAAGCATCGTTGTGTTTCTGTGTGTGTCTGTGTGTGTGTGTGTGTGTCTCTGGAGACTCCTCAGTGTGAAGAGTGTGGGACTGAACCTGCTCTGTCTAATGAGACGGCGCGGTGGGAAGCTGATGTTTTGATTGAGTTTGTTTCTGCTCACTTCTTCTCGTGAACATACACACACACACACACACACACACACACACACACACACACACACACACACACAGACACACACACACACTTACACACATTTGGTAACAAACAGAGCTCAACTCTTATCATCCTGCCGACACATTGTGTGTCAAACATGGCACATTTTCTTCTCAGTTAATTCAAGATGTCAGATACGAACTACTCGAATGAACACCACTTGCTTCTGTGTTGAGGAAAATGTTCCTACAAACTGTCAAACTTTTTTTACGTGATCTTGCAAAGAAATTCAGAAGTTTTCCTTTTCTTGATTGTTTGATCAGAGTGCAAATAGGGACCGTTTGTAGATAATAAACAAGACTTCTTATGGTGCACATTTACCAAAATGTAAAATACAGGCTAAAAGCAGAACTATGTTACTATATACTGACTGTGTGTGACACAGTAGTTGTAAAACAGTCAGTATATTAATATCAACTTACTTTAGCAGGAAATGATAGAATCTACAAAATGTTACTTTGGCAAGGCACTCCCACTTAAACGACATCCAAATATAACGCTTCAAAGGTCCCATATAATATATAGGTCTCTGTCCATGTGCTGTGTGATTATAGATCAGCTCTAGCTTCTATATTAATACTGTGAAAGTATCAAAGCCTCAGTCCACAGAGAAATGCACACAGCCTGTATTCAGAAACTGAGCCTTAAAACCAGCCGTCAGGACTTCTGGAACTTTGTGATGTCACAACAAAGCAGTCACCAAGCCCCGCCCACCTGGACCCACCATCCAAACCTTGCAGGATTTGGTTTCTCTGAGTGTTTTTACCTGAAATCTGCTGTATATATATATTTTTTTTATGAGATCACACAGACAACAGTCAGCCAATCAGAAGAGAGGCTCAGAGCCTCCTCTCTTCTGATTGGCTCACAGACCTGTTGTTACTAGAGCTCCAGAGAGAAGCCTGAGAGAGGAGATGTAAAACTACACTGAGATGGTTTTTGGTTCTTAAAGCCACAAATATATCTTCTTATGGATCAACACTTCAAAATAAAACACAGGAATAGTGTAAAATATGGAGCTTTAATAGTTTTTTCTTTTTAGATTATTTTTGGAGTTTTTTGCCTTTATTCAATCGTCACCAGTAAAGAGGCAGGAAGGAAGATCCACGGCCAGAATCGAACCATGGTCGTTGTGGTTACGTGGCATGCAGTCACCAGAGCGTTCCTAAAAGCTGCTTTCTTAATTCAGGATTGTAAACAAAGCTGTTTTACCACAATCCAGAATTTGTTTTCATTTTTTCAGCTGTGGGCATTTCCTCCATTCCCTCTGTGCAATGCATCATGGGGCATACGACACAACTTATGATCCACCGGCTTTCTTTTTGTAAAGGTAGTGCCAAAATTATATATTATTTTAATTACATTCCATCTTCACCTGAACTGAAAAAGAAAAAAAAAAAAAACACACACTGGTAGTATCTCATAGTGTTGCATCATTTGAACCATATTGATCATTGCCTGTGACACAGTGTAATTACTGAAGGTGTAGTCGCTGGGATTTACCGATCCAGAGAGGGACTCTCATAAAACCACAGCTTTTCTGGAGACTTGACACGAGCTGATGCTGAGAAATAAGACACTAACGAATCCTGATGAGCTGGGGCTCACACAGAAACCTATAGTTGAGGTGTTTCAACCTGTGTGTGTGTGTGTGTGAGAGTGTGTGTGTGTGTGTTTTTCCTCTGAAAACACAGGGACGAAAGGGACGACACTCAAGTTTTTTTTTTCCTAAAAATGCTCCATTAACATTTACAGTACCACACAGTGCTTATGCCATAAGCCTGCAAATAAAGGTAATTAACGCCAATAATAGAACAGCCTGATGCAAAACCTACAACTTCAAAATCTACAACAGACTAAACAGTCAGAGTAACACAGTGTGGAAACAGTGATTTATAGACGAATATCAAACATAGTCTTTCCAGGAGACAGAGATTCCTACGTCTACCTTATCATTCACCTGATCTTACGAGGGTAAAGATGAAGCTACAGGGCCTCACCTGTGTTCACCTCTTCTTCTTTCCCATTGGTTGAGTTGTACGTCTTGACCGTGGCGAGGGCCAATGGCTGCTCCTGATTGCGAGACTGCATCCTCCACTTCCCCGGCGAGTGTTAACTTCAGACCTGAGGCTTTCCAGTTCTTCCTCAGTGCATCCCTCTCTTTCCTCGACGCCCCTGGAGGAGGAGAAAGGTCAATTAATGACCTAATTTGTCCAAGATACTTGATGAGAAACAGTCTCCTCTTACAGTGAAACAACAGTTCATAAAGGCTTTAAAGGGTGCTCAAACAAACACCCACTTCTCAAGTTAGAATTTCCTTGGAAAAGTCATCTGGCAGACAGGAAATGATGCACTTTGCATCTCCAGTTTCTTTAGAATAAACAAAAGAAGAAGTGGGCGGTTTGCATGAGCGGCGGTGGTCACTGTGGCTGCAGAGGGCAGGAAGAAATGAATACAAACCTCCAGAAACTTTAACTCAATCAACACAAGAAGCAGCTGATCTCTCAGAGCAGAGGCCGAAGCGAATAAAACCAAAACAAACAAGTTGTAGATTTCAACACACAACACTCATTTTCAGCATCATTCAAAAAGCAGAGTGAAAAGCCTGTTCCTCTGTCTTCTGCGTTTTGCAATTTCTACCAATGCATACCGTCTGCCGGCCACGTGTATTTGCATACCACAGCAAAAAGAAAGAACGCCGTCAAGATGACCAATCAGAGTCCGACGGAGTAGAAAAACTGGAACGACACGAGCGGGAGAACGAGGCTGGTGAATTAAGCGCGATTTGAAAATGAGGGGAGAGAGAGAAACGCAGAGCTGCAGAGCGACAGCACTGTAGCTGAATACTGGCGGTAAAAGAGGAAGTGTGACAGTAAATATGTATTTGTGACACACACACACTCGAAGGACTTGTCTCCCTGTAAACAACACGATGATTTAAAAACCACCCCCATTTTCTTCTGTCTAATCTATGTGCCATCCCTCAGAATGAAGCAGCTTCCACTCGGTTCTAACTCACTTCAACATGATGGAGAAAAAAAAAACTGGTGATTATCAAACCGACCAATCAACACCTGATTGGGACTGATTGAGGTTGTTAGTCTCTACTTTCCCCAGCAACGTTTGATTTTCATGCCGCTCTGATTAATCACTGTGAGGCAAACGTGTGATGTGATCAGTCAATCAATCGCTCGCAGAGCAGAGCTCATGTGTCTCGTCTCCTAATTAATGTAGTTACAAGTTGGCGGTTCAGTCGCTCTCTCACTCTTTCTCACTTTTTCTTCTTTCCTAGATTCATCTTGTGGCCCATTCGAGGGTCCCTGAACCCCAGGTTGGGTATCACTCATCTACATCTCTTGTGTATAATATTACTTGTAAGTATTTTGAGGGTGTTTTTCTAACTTTTATTCATTAGAGATGGTAGAGATGAGAGAGGAATCAAACTGGAGACGTTGCATCAGGGCTGCAGTCGATTATTTTCATTACTGAATAACCTGCAGACCATCTCCTAGAATCATGCAAGAGTCCTTCTTCACTTGTTTTGCAAACCAACCGTCCCAAATGGGAGAAAATTCAACAACAAATCCTCACACTGATGACAACTTTCGCTTAAACAATCAATTTTTTCTGATCGATTATCCTGTCAGCTCTCATTGCAATCATGGTAAATGTTACAGGTCCAAACCACCATGTCACCAGAAGCCAGAGCACGTCAACAAACCGCACGTGCAATAAACAAAACCGAATGAAACCCAGTGTGTGTCTGAAACTGGCCGGAGTGATCAACACAACGTCAATATGTGAAAATCAGCACCTTCACAACAACAGACCTTGTTTGTCACTTGCCTTGGCGGTTGTCCTCGGCCGTGGAGTCACATCACCAGTGACTCACTCACCGACTTCCACCCACTTTCATCAACCTGGCAATTAACGCCGAGGCTCGCTGCCATCGCACAGCGATCCTCAAAAAAATAAATACATTTAAAAAAGAAAAAAAAAAGAAAATCAAGCCAAAAAACCAGATCCAGATCATCGGTCGTCACGCTCGACTTTGAAATCAATATCCAATAAAAGAGCGGGAAGTATCCTTGTTTTTGATCAGGATCATTGCTGGTATTTACCCAGGCGGGAAAAACAGAAGGAGGGAATCCAACGATCCTCTGATGAAGGTGGAATAAAGTCCTGCGTCTGAAAAAAAAAACACCCTTGAAACCCTGAGAAAATTAAAGCACACAAAACACACTGAGACGGCTCCCGCTGCCGAGTGTGTTTACAGAACTGTGAGGCTACGAGGGCTGTGACAGCCTCCACAACCACCCGAGTGTGTGTGTGTGTGTGTGTGTGTGTGTGTGTGGTGTGTGTTGTGTATGCGTTGTCACCTCTCCACCCCCAGACGTGCCCACAAGTAGCTCAGCATAACATCCATTGCGTAAAAACAACAAGCTGAGAGTAAATTTGGCGTCAGCAGTGACACACTATCGTATTAACCGTCCCACGTCCCTTTCTATCCATCCTCTCCCCACTCTCCCCCACCCCCTCTTCACAGCCTATCACTGTTTCTCAGCTACAATCTCCAGCTGCATTGACACATCACTGTTGTCAGCATGCAGCTCTCATTGAAAGTCACCAGAGTCCACTCAAACGTTACGAGGAGCAGCTCTTCAACACGGTTATTCCCCTTAAAATCCCCCTTAAGTGACTGGTTTTTTTTCCCCCCCCCTTACACTATTACACACACACACACAGATCTTGCGCATCTGCTTCTTCCAACACTAAGTGTGCTACAGCTATGAGGACCAACGTATGATTTCATCAAGCAGAAATTGATGATGAAACAATTAGAAATGTTAAGCTTCTGAAATGTGACAATTTGCTGAGTTTTTCTGTGTTAACGATAAATTTGAAGACGTCTCTTTTGGCTTTAGGAACATTATTCACTATTTTCTGATGTTTTATAAACTAAATAATTAATTGATTTATCAAAGATATAAATGAGTAGATAAATAAATAGTGATTAAAGTGGCTGCAACCCCAATATTCATGCAGTCCTGGTGGAAATTCACAACATTTTGGATTGTTCTGGCTCCACACTCCAGCACATTGGATTTTAACTTCAACAATGACCACGCTGGGTCAAGTGCTGACTCAGAGCTTTAATTTGAAGGTTTCAACAACCACATCAGATGAGCAGTGTAGGAGCTGCAGCCCTGTCATTGTCCTCCTGCGCTGTCCATAAACCGGTCTACTCAATACAGATGTGAACACCATGAAAACTTCCAAATCCAGTGCAGAGCTCCGAGCTCCGAGCCAACAAAACAGGAAATGTGTCACTGTCCAAATACTTATGGACCGCATTGGTCATTTCCCCAAAATTCACCATGACACATTTATTACATTTGCAAACTTTTTGGACGCCCTTTGGAATTTCAAAGGTCACATATTTTAGTCTTTTTTATCAAGTTCCCAGAGGTCTTAAAAGAATGTTTCACAATTCATAAACAAAGAGCTGAACCACTTCTATGTGCACACGAGCAATAAAGAGCCTTTAAAATATATTTCTGTGGGTGGATCCAGAAGGTTTACACAAAATCCACCATTCTCCTTCAAACAACTTATAATAAATCAAGGTGAGAAAATAACATTAAAGTCAACTTTAATCATCTTGTAAACTTCCTGTAAGAGCATGTTGAGTTTCTCTTCATTTGGTCCCTCACTGGTTAAACAAGTTTCATAACCCTCGGGGGCAGAAAAGCATCCACAGGCTTCTTTGTTCAAGAAGGCGGTTGTCAGTGTCGATGTGTTTGTCTCGGTCTTTATCCCTGAAACAAACCATCATTTTGGAGGATTTTTTTTTTTTTTTTTTCATTGCAATCCAGCGTTTTGCTCTTGATGAAACTCACTGGCCTTTCAGCGTCCCGGAGGAAACAGCCCAGATTGGGCACCGGGGGAGGGGGGGGGGGATTAAACTGGTCTGGGAGAGTTAATCTCAGACGCGGGACATTTGTGCCCCTGTGGTCTCAGATTGAGAGGAGGGAGGGATTTTTTTTTTTTTTTATTGATTAGCCCCTGATGGGGCGCTGGGCATCCACGTGTTGTCCTTCTGCCTTTCCCTAAACCCATCCATGCCAAAGATTTAATGGGGGATTTAGGAGATTAACTACCACTGCATGGGCTGGGGTTTTATTGCATTACTCCCTATTAGGTTCTCCTCTTTTAGACCCATCCAAGAGTTGTTTCCTCTTGGCAACAGGAGGCCTTGATGTAACAATTTGTCCTCTGTTTCCTACAGTTTTTAACATAGATGTGCGCACAATGCAGCCTGTGTCTTCCGTGCCCAATTACAACAATCTGATGCTCACTGAAATCAGCTAACTACGAAATGATGAAGGCAAACAGCAACTGCCCCTGATGGACCACAGAAAAACAGAAGAGGAAAACAGTGCAGCAGCCAAGAGAGAGAAGGGGAGTGGGGGGGGGGGGAAACTCCCTCAGCCTGGAGCTTTCTTATTTCAACATCAATGACTGGAAACACCATCCTACGACACGGTATGCACAACAACACTGTCTCAAAGCAGGAGGACAGAGGCTGAACGTGGCGTTTGCCTACGTCCTCCCCTTATTCAAATACAGGCGGCGAGTTAGTTTGCAAACATTAAAAAAAAAAAAAGAGAGAAAGAAAGAAAGAAAGAAAGCATTTCCTGTAAAGTGGCTGCTTCTTTCCTTCTCATTGGCTTGTACAACTCTTATCAAAAACAGCTAAACGATAAAAGAAAATGACTGTTGGGTGGTTCTTGTAAAAGCCAACAGCTCAACCCATCTGTAATATGCAGCAGGAGCCATATTGATCTTTACCAGTGGAGAAAATGGTTCATATATTTTTTTACTTTTATGGCCACGTTTTCATTTTTCCCCTTAAAACGTGCTCTTTTTTTGGGAGTGGGAGGGGGGAGTGTGGTGGCGGTGGTGGTGGTGGGAGGGGGGGGTACCTTTATCTCCAAGACTGCGCTCACCCACCATCCCCTATACTCCGCTCGCAGCAGCTCTAAATATCTATGGAGCAGCAACAACAACAAAAAAGAAGAAAATCTAAAAGCATGACTTATTCATTTGCACATGATGAACGTCTCTGCTTCTGCTCCGTAACGTGCAGTCTTTATTGTTTCTGTTCGTTATGGTGACGAATTTAATCTGGAGGAGGAATCCTGAGGAATAATGCAAAGCTGTAAAACCCCGGATTTGCAGACCGCACGCAAAAAAAAAGAAGAAAAAAAAAAGAAATAATTACACAGATACGCGCGGTTTAACCCAATTATCTGCTTAATCGTTGCAAATTCACCCCGTAGAGAAACAATAGCCGACACTTGGGAGGAAAAATATCTCGCCGGACTGTCCAATCATCAACATAACAATCTAAGCAAAAGGTGGACTGAAATCACCCCGGTGTTGGTTTTAATGGGTGAAAAAACAATATTAATCTGATTAAATTGGCTCCAGAAAGAGACGTATCGAATGAGCTGCAGCATTTTTTGATAAAAGTGAAAGAGGAAACGTTAAGTGCACATCAGGAAGATGAGGCGGTGAGGGGTGTAGCCGACCAGGCAGGCAGGCAGGCAGGCAGGCAGGCAGGCATTCAGAGCTGGCTCTCCGGTCATGTACTTTGCACACTCAAAACTGCAGCGGAAAAAAACTCCCACGGAGTTGCCAAATGCTCACTTTGAATTTAATTGATTAAACCTCGTGTATGTCCATCAAAAGAAACCGAACCGGGCGCGTTATCTGCCGTCGTTTTATTTTTTCCTCGTTCAAAGATTTTAAGGCGCAGTTTTCCCCACACGAGCACCATAACCCGCCATGTTGAAAGTGGTTTGACATTTTGGCAGTGTCCGGTATTTTCCGATGGCTTTTACGCACCTTAAGGTGTCGAAAAAAATCCCACATGACTCATCTATATGTCGGCGATAAGTCATTTCTAACGTTAATCTACGAAAACAACTTCACATCCAACAAAACGTGTCTTTACACGCAGCAATACAACACATTAAAATAACGTTACAGCAGTTATATCGTGCAGGTTTTTTTTTTTTTTTTTTTAAATTAACGTTATTTCCAAGACAGTTAATAACATGCTGCACGCGAAGAGAAAGGGGAAAGAAAACAACGCAATAAACGGTATTACCGAGAGTGCCACGAGACAGCGTCCTCTCCGCCGGTGAAAGCTGTTAATTACGGCGCGTGAGAGACACTTTGAACAACTTGGGCTCGCGAACGAACGCTCGCGACTATTCTCTCGTTTCTACAGAAACCGCCTCGAGAGCACTTCACGGTTTCTTTTCTTTTTTTTTTTCTTTTTTTTTCTTTTTTTTCTTTTTAAAGCGGAGGAGGAGAAAAATAACTCTCCCCGTGTTTATACCGTCGACATAACGAAAATAACAAAACGCAGCAGCCGCGGAAAAAGCCTCCCAGCACCGCCGGAGCCGTCACCTGTCTTACCTGTCCAAGTTTTTTTGTCGCCTCTCCTTCTCGAGACCCCCTCTCCTTTTTTTTCTCTCTCTCTCTCTCTCTCTCTCTCTCCTTCCTCCTCTCCTCGTTCGCGTGAGCCCGAGCAGAGCAACGCGAGCGACGTCTTTCAGCTGCTGCTGCCCCCGTTCCAATATGGCATCTCCCATCTGCGCATGTCCAAAAACATCTACAGATATTTTCAAGCCAACTCCTTCATTGACCTTTTAGTGCAGCAGCAGCAGCAAAAAAAAAAAAAAAAATCTTCAGCCTGATATAAATAGGAAACTTCAGTTCAGCAACGCACCACAGCGTAAAACTATGCAACGGAATATTAGTTTTATTTGCATTTAAGCAAATTCTGATTAACCTACAAATATTATCTTCAGCATATATCAATTCAACATTACTGGTGGTTAAATCGAAATTAAGTCGTTCATTAATTTTAGCATTTACAGGCTGTTTTATGACCCAACACCCAGCATTGTTTCTGTACCTGAGCAGTTTTAACTGGAATAAAAGCCTCTGCAAGCATCAAAACTATAATAAACGTGATAATATTGTTAAGGACAAATATAAAACTATAGCAGAAACCAAACTGTGTCGTCATTACAGCTGCTTCTGAGCACGAAAAGCCTGAAAAGCCAATAAGTTATGATTTCTTATCATCGCCTTCTGCACTTTTGACTATTTCCGTGTATTTTTTGCGTTATTTATTTATTTATTTATTTATCACTTTTCTCCAAACAGCTCTTGAGGAAATACCCAGACATTTTTTTGTTGTTGTTATTTTAATAAACCAGGACCATCTTTTTTATCAAAGTCAACACTATCCTCTAGTGGTGGGAGCCCATTGCACCACTATAGATACATGCAGGCAGTCACAGTTCAAAGGTTGTATTTTATATCAGGTTTTATCTGCTTAAACTGACGGATGATAACTAACGCCACTACCACTACAGGTAGGTTAGCCCCAGTGAGACACGGTAAAGTTTTATGGCTCATAACTGAAGTAAACCTTCAGGGTGGAGATGGCCTTGCGCCTACAGAAAGTGAAACCGTCATGACTCTGTGATACAACACGAGGTTAGTTGGGGGCAATATTCAAAATTAAGCCTCAGTGAAATGAAAGTTGCATGTTCCTCTTTAAACATGGAAGTTCACGCTTGACCTTTTGTGAGAAGTATGCGTAATATAATAATTGCTCAATGGTCAATTGTCCATTTGTTTTAAAGCGCACAGTAGAGTTTTTTGTTTTGTTACGCAGCATTTTCTTTTCCGGGAATCCCCTGAAAAATCACCAAAGTCCCCTGACTTTCACCTAAACAGCAAAGTTCATAAAACAACAAAGCAGTGAAGTTATCACAGGCTTCTATCCTGGCTTCATAACTGTATATCTTTACTGTTAAAGTCAGTAAAAGAGGCGAGCAGACAGGAGGCATGGCGGCTCTTTAAAATGGAAAGGTGAAGATACACACATGAATGAATGAGTAAATAAGTAAATAAAACAATTCAAACCAAACTGCGGTTTTAAAATATTGTTTCTCAGTCTGAGAACTAAGAGACATTAAAGAGTATTTATGTTACACCAAATTCTGTTTATTTTTTTAAGTTTTCTTTCCCAAAGTTTCTCTTTTAATTTGAAATACTGAATACTTTCACCTCTTCAATCCTCAAATAATCAATCTGAAGAGATTAAAATCACTCCAGTTCTTGAGGGATCATAATTATCCTCATTTTAAGGGGCCACGAACCAAAGAGGGATTTCAAAATAAGTAACAAGTAGCCTAGTGACACGATTATAACTGCAAGAATGGATTTTATTTTGAAACCTGTCACGGGAAGTTCGTTGTTGTATTTACGGCGGTGGATCTGATTCATTAAGACACAAAGGAATCATAAAGACAGTGGAGGAGGCGCCGGTGCCGGTGTGATGCCACTGGAGGAACAGATGGTTGAAGCGTGCGCCGCGCTCCATTAATCTGCCAGGGAAGAGGCTTTTCCAAGCGCGCGGGAGAAAGGATTATGCCTCCCTTTTGCACCCACACACACACACACACACACACAACACACACACTTGTGCATGAGCCTGCAGCCTCTCTGCACGCGGCAGAGGACGGGTTTTTTCCCCCGCTGCACTGTTAAATATGTATGCATCTGAAAGCAGGTTCATGGAGCTCCAGTGAACCATTTAGGAACGCGTAAAATTCTCCAAATCATCCAAACAACCAACCATCACCATGTGGAGTAAATATGAATAAATAATTATTTTAAAGAAATTAATGCAAATCTTAATAGCCTATAATCATAATTTACAAGGATGCGTGTGTGTTCAATTGTTGGTGACTGTGACACAACTTTACTGCATGGCTGGTTGGTTACGGAACATTTTCACCATCTTGTTTGGCATCGCAGAATGTGTTGATGTCTCTGCAGCGTGGTGTAAATGTTAAGTTTTATATTTCCCCCTCAATAACATATGATGTGTAACGATCCGTAATAAAAGCCCATTCTAAAACCCTGCTTTATTGTCATCTATCTCTTATTCTAACAAATCGGAGCCTTTATAAAAAACCGCTGATACTCTTTATTGATCTGTAAATTCTCTGGCATGTTGTTTCTGTGGCTGAACACCTGAGGCTCCAGGTATGTAATCCCCTAAAGTCTGTAGTAAATTGGCATAAATCAGATGATTTTGTCATTAGGAATCCAATAGCTACACCTTCTTTGTCTCTTTTGCCTATTTTGAACAGAATGACTGAATGAACCTAAAGATCTCCTTCATTGCATCTTCACATGAGGCAGAGATTTGCCTCGTGCGCGCCTGCCCCTGACATAAACACAAAGGGTCTGAAGCGGTCTCGCGCACATTCAAGGAATTCTGCTAGGAGAGTCGCGCGGACCTGAGTCAAACGAACCGAAACACAACAGGAAGGTTAGGCGGAAAGTCACTTCAAAATAAAACAAAGGTGGAAAACCTATAGTCATCCCTGTAGGGTGTACTTGTGTGCCTACATGCAAGTGTACGTGATTGCATTTACATATGATCTGATAATAAAAATAAAATAATTCCCCCTTAGCATTTATTATATGGAAAATAATTCATGAAAAACAATAGTGGTATTATGTAAATAAACTGGGATTTAAAGGGTTCAAATCCTGAAAATGAATGAATATTTGGTAGTTATGATCAGGACTTTAAAAGTGTTAAAAGTGTGATGTAAATTATTCTGTTGTTTATCCGATTTCTGTCTCTATGTTTCTCACTTATATTGTTTGAGCTGTATACAAATTCTTTTACCAACATGTTTGCTTTTTCTTTATTATTTACAGTCTCAACACTATTGCAGTGAATTGCAGAAATAGTCTGCTTCAATTTTATATTACATTTGAGTTCACCAGGATAATCCACTCAGTATCATTCTGCTTTCCTGGGAGCCCTGTGTTGGCCTACACAGCCTACATTAAAACAAACAATGAAACAATAAAATATATAAACTAGATGCTTAAAAACATATGAAACAGGACAAAAATGTAATCGTATAATTATTTTAAATGTTTATAATGTGTATTGTGAAATAACCTGACACTGTAAAAGGTTAATCTTTATTAATCTCTGTTGTCTATCTGTTAATCTCTACAGCCACAACCTTTTATTTTGAAGTAAAACTACCGGAAGTCGGACTTCCTGTGTGGGCTACTTGATCGTAAGTGTTTTCGTTGTCATAAACATGGATGTGAGTCAGAAAATCGATCGTCTTGTTTGTTCTTCCATCACGAAATGTAGCGTCAGCTTCTGGAAACACTGAAGGGAAACTTAAACTCGAGTCGTTCGCCGGAAAATTAAAAAAACAAAAAATCCCACGGTTTGTTTTTCTCGAGTAAAGAAGGGCTAAAGATAAGCCCCTGTTTGTGCGCCCGCCGAGGAAGTGCTCCTTTTGTCTCCAACGGCTGTTGTTGTTGTTGTTGTTGTTGTTTTTCTTTTAACGTGTCAACATGGACATGTACGGATACAGCGGGGTCTTCTTGGTGAAACGGTTCCTGGATAACTCTCCCTTTGAAGTCACAAACATGTCCGACATCAACAAGGCGAATCCGCACGGCTGCGATAACGGAGCTCTGACGGACAGGTTCGGCGTCCTGATCCAGGGACTCCTGGCCATCGTCGCCTTCAGCACCCTGATGTGTGAGTAGCAAGTTCTCGTCTATGAAAACACCTTTAACATCACCACTTTTTGTTGTTGTTTTTGTTGTTGTTGTTGTTGCGTTTATTCGGGTGGAGGATGCTGAAAACACAACATGCTTTTAAAAAAGATTGCAAGTCCACGTGGCGTTTTGTTGACGTTTGTTTTCGCGGAGCCTCATTAGCTTGCCACCAGATTCCATTGGAAAATATGCTAATTTTAATGTTTTCCTGTGTTTCGGCAATAAGACACGGCAAATAGGAAACTTCTTGAAACATTATCTGAACATTAAAGACCCGATATTAATTTCGGTGTATATTACGTGCTGTATACATAACACATTATTCGGAAAATTTTATATTTTTATGTGACTGGGGTCGCTTCAAACACCTTACACGTCCACAAAATATTCAGTTGCTAGCAGCGGAAGAGATATATGTGAACCATTCATTTTAAGTACATATTTTAAGAAAATTAAGCGGTTTGTGGCATATATATCCAAGCCGAATTGGCCGTTAAGACTCAAATGAAACATAAACAATTAAGGTAAACCATACCACACCGATAAACGTGCTGATAAGCAAAGCAGCGTCATAAATTGCGCTGTTTTTTAACTGAAGTTTCGTCAGCGTCTCAGCTCGTGGCAGAACAGCAGGTTTTGGATCCAGCGCATTCACACTGACAAAAAAAAAATCTCCATTCAGTGAAATTTAATATTCACACACATTGTGCTGCTGCTCAAGGAACATGTCATGCCATGACTGCTTTAAAGAAACTTGAGCTTCTTCAGAGGTGATTATGCTACAGCCTTGTAATCACAGCAGTGTCAGTTCTAAGTGAGATATATATAAATACATATATATATAATTTCAAAAACTTTGACGGTGTGGAGGGAGTGTCTACTTTAAGTGCAAAACAAGATTCTCCTTGCAAACCACAGTGTGGGATTATTCACCCTG